TGAGGCACTGGAACAGGTTGCCCAGAGAAGTTTTGGATGCCCCATTCCTGGAAATGTTCAAGATCAGGCTGGGCTGGAGGAGGAGCAGCCTGGTCTAGTGGAAGGTGTCCCTGCCATGGCAGGGGGGTTGGAACTAGAAGATTTTTAAGGTCACTTCCAACCTAACCCATTCTATGATTCTAATTTGCACTTGCACCCTAGCAAATCCCATCCTGCATCAAAAGTAGTATGACCAGTAGGTTGAGGGAGGGAATTCTCCCCCTCTGCTTCACTCTGGTAAGACCCCACCTCGATGGAGTACTGCATCCAACTCTGGGGACCCCAGTACAAGACAGACACCAACCTGTTAGAGAAGGTCCAGGGGTCCAGATGAGGACCACTCTAATGAGGACAGGCTGAGAGAGAGATGAGGTTGTTCAGCTTGGAGAAGAAAAGGCTACAGGGAGACCTTATTGTGGTATTTCAATACTTAAAGGGGACTTATAAAAAAGGTGAAGAAAGACTTTACCAGGGCCTGTAATGACAACACAAGAGGCAATGTTTTTAAACTGAAAGAGGGTAGATTTAGATTGGACATAAGAAGAATTTTTTTATAAGGAGCATGCGAGATATTGGAACAGGTTGTCCAGAGTAGTTGTGGATGCCCCATCACTGGAAATGTTTAAGGTCAGGTAGGATGGCCCTGCCCATGACAGGGGAGCTGGACTGAATGATCCTGAAAGGTCAAAACCATTCTGCGATTCTATGATTCTATGAGTAGGAGCAGAAATATGAAAAAGGGTTGAAAAAAGGATAAGGATCAAGCAAGGAAAATTAATTAGATGTTATAACAAATGAATGGCAAAACACATCTTAAGAATACCTGGAAAACTTGATTGTGAGGGACAGAGGAAAAGTACTCCTCTTCTCAGAAGAAAAGTATGAAGAGACTTGGTATTTTGCAGCTGGAAATCCCTACATAAGAGAGGGAGAGAAATCAAAGATAGCACAAAGGCTAAGAAAGAGGGGAAAGAAGGCTGGAGAGGAAAAAACCCTAAGTAATATATAATAAAAAAGCATACAGCTCCACTTGTGGAAACCTTAACTTGAAAATAAAGCATGCAGAGGTTTAATAACTGAAGGTTTCACATGAATTGAGCAAAATAATAAAATGCCTTGCTTTTTCAATAGGCAATTCTAGGACCACACACAAATTACCATCAGAAGCAACAATGATTTGTATGGGATATCAGTAACAGCATTATTCTGTTGTTGTTCCAGAATTTTCTCTCCACAGTGGACTTCGTTGTTGCTAATTCCACAACTAAAACTTGGGAAAGCCTGAATAAAGAGCAGACACCCCAAAGTTCTTTGTTACTGAATTCAGTAGAAAAATTTACCTCTAACCTCCGTCCAGTAAATAATACCATTCCTTCTGTCTCCACAAATACCCTTCATCTACAAGGTGTAGTTGTCACAGGAAGTAACATCACAGACTATTTTAAGAAATTCCAGAGTACAAAACACCTGACAGTTAACGTGCTTATTGATAAAACTGAAATTCAGACTCTAAACCAAAGTTCAACCATTGTCAGTGTGATGTACTCAGAACTTGGACGTATTTTGCCTGGGAATAAGTCCGAGTATGTGAACGGCTTATTGATAACAACAACAATAAGCAGCCAAACAAGCCAGGATTTCAATATTAATATGACCTTTGCAAAGAATATCTTGTCTCTAAAGATGCCACGGTGTGTCTTCTGGAACTTCTCACTCGAACATGGTGCGGGCTGGGATACTCGTGGTTGCACACCCACAGAGGAAGAAGATGTTGTTATTTGCTCCTGCAATCATTTGACATCATTCTCCATTTTGATGTCACCTGGTGAATCCTCCCAGACAATCTTTGAAGATTATATTACCTACACTGGCCTGGCCATTTCAATCTTGAGTTTGGCAACCTGCATTATAATTGAATCCTTAGTCTGGAAATACGTGACAAACAACACAACCTCCTATATGCGCCATGTCTGTATTCTCAACATAGCTACATCGCTCCTGATTGCTGACATTTGGTTCATTGTCAGTGCCTCCATAAATGACCAGGGCCAACAGATGAGCAGAGGTATCTGTTTCATGGCTACCTTCTTCATCCATTTATTCTACCTGTGTGTTTTTTTCTGGATGCTCAGCCTGGGCCTCATTCTTTTCTACAGACTGGTCTTCATCTTACATAACACGAGCAAGACCGCTCAGAAAGCAATGGTGTTCTGTCTGGGATATGGGTGCCCCTTTGTCATTGCAGTCATCACCATCGCTGTCACACTGCCAAGGAACATTTACACCAGAAAGGATGTCTGCTGGCTCAATTGGAATGACAGCAAAGCTCTCTTGGCCTTCGTCATACCTGCTCTGATCATTGTGGCCATGAATTTGTTCATCACCGCTGTTGTTATAATAAAAATACTGAGGCCAACTATTGGGGATAGGTCAAACAGGCAGGAGAGGAACTCTTTATTTCAAATCGGCAAAAGTGTGGCCATCTTGACACCACTGTTAGGCCTCACCTGGGGATTCGGCATTGCCACCATCATCAAAAACAGTCATCGGATTTTCCACATCCTCTTTACTCTGCTCAATGCTTTCCAGGTGAGTTACACATCTGTATGCTCGTGTTTCCTCTATGGCCGTTTAACATGTAGTGACATTCTTGCAGTGATATGCTTGGAGGGGAATAAAAACAGCTTGGGAAAGCTCAGGTTTGCCTTACACATCCTTATTCCCAAAGGGATCTTTGGGAAACTCATTCCAGGAATTCAACAGTATTTTATATTCTCGGATGCCTTAACAGATGTGCCTTATAGATAAAGCTGACATAAAGATAATTCCAATTTTTCCAGTACCTTTGGGAAGAATTTAATTCCTGAAGATCAGGAAAATAGCCCTATTATGTTCAGGTGGGCAAGCTCCAACATGCCTGGTCTCATCTTCAGTGCATCTGGAGGGATCATATTATGGTCTTGTGGGTTCAGGTAATGAGGGAGTATAAACAACATGAAAGTCACAAAGAACAGCAGAGTAGTACTAATAACAAAGAGAAGAAATAACCAAAAGACACATGATTGAGAGTTTTCATTTAGTAAAATTTTTACAGTAACATATTTAGATGGCCAGTAGGATCCCAATACAATTGGATTTCTTAAGGACACAATAGTGATGTCTATTCTGCCTCTTAAGAATGGCCTCGTATTTGTACGCTTTAGACTAAACTGTCTTGCCTTTTATATTGTGAGCCTGCTAGCTTATCTGGGGAGCATAGGCAGGGCATGTCTTCCATACACAAAGGTCCATTCTTCCACATATGTTTAGTGCTAGCAAAATATCTGTGTCACTTCTGTAGACCAGATGTACATTCAGATTAAGTAGGCCAGGCCTGGAAAGCCTCTAACTTAATTAGCAGTCGATTATGTGAGATGCAGTTAGGAAAAATACCCCCTATCCAAGAGTTCAGAGTTTAAATAGTCAACATGCATAATGTTTGAGGTAATCATGAGGTACTGCAATTAAAACATTGGTGTCATCATATTGCATATAATTATCTGTCTCCTAGGGATTATTCATTTTGGTGTTTGGGACTCTCTGGGACAAGAAGGTAAGAATTCAAACTATTTCTTATACTGTGTGAAAATACTGTTGGAATTTGAACATAATTGCTGTATTTACTGGTTTCTTTTTTTTCAACAGATACAGGAAGCCCTGCTGAAGAGGAATTCAATGTCCAAATGGAGTTCGCAGCAAACAAAGGTTAGAACCTTGACCCAAGAATGTATTTCAGAGTTACTGCTGAATGGTCTCACATTCTCTGTATCTTTTAAGTCAAATGCATTCTGTACATTTTGTATTCTGAATTATTTATTAGAACTAGTCAGAGAAAGACAAGACGCTAGCAACATAAATATGAATATACCCCCTTTTTCAAAGTTCATTATTTCACCTGTAATTGGTAAAAAATGAGAAGGAGATTGGTGGACATTTGCTCTAAATTCCACAAGAAATAAATCACAAAATAGAACTGAAACATTATGTTAGAAAACAGAAAATTTCAGTGCATCATTGTTTATTCACAACTTAAGAGAAATGCAAAGGGAACTTCTTGGGGAAGATGCCCTTTAGCTGTGAGCAGGAAAAGGTGGAGATACTGCAACTTGAACTTGAGATATAAGGAGACAGGTAAGCTTCCACTTTATAGTGGGAACAGAAAATGGGAAGAAATGTGAATCCTTTGTCAAAATTGTGTCTATGTACCAGAAAGTCCTGGATTTCAATGAGCAAAAGATAGAACATAAATGAATGTGGTTCTGGAACAAAGTGGTCTGGACACACTCCTAGAAGAGGAGAAACTTTGGTCCCAGATCAGCATTTAACCCGAAACTTTCAGTGCCTAAAAAACCAAAAGAAATAACATTGCAAACTGGGACTGGATCCTAAAGGAAGATCCTGGAAGACTTCTCTTCCATTCACAGAGACTTTCTCTGGCCCAGTGACTCTTGCACTCCTCCCTGCATTGAAGCACAGCTTGAATGGGCGTCTGGAAATGTTTCTGCTCAGGATAAGCATTCACATGAAAGGAGGAAATCAGTTCCACTGACATCTTTAAAAGAAAAATAAGGTTTGCACAGTGCCTCATGAAGATGACTGTTGAAGAATAAAATTAGAACAGAAATGTAGGCAGTGTTCCTGTTGAAGAGGCATGTCACAGAATCATGAAGATTTGAGGTTGGGAGTAACCTCCAGAGTTCATCTAGCCCAAACACTACTGCTCAAAGCAAGATAAAACAGAGCACGTTTCTTAGAACATCAGTTTTTCAGTATCTCTGGAGCTGGAGAATCCACGGGCTATTCGGACAAAAACTTATGGTGTTTTGCCACCTGCAGCATAAAACAAAATAAAGGTTTGTCATATAATAAAATGGAATTTCTTCCATTTCAATTTGTGCTCCAGAGATTAAGACTCTGAAAAAAAAAAAA